TTGGTAGCCTCACCAAATAGACTACACCCGGATATATTCCAGGTACCCCCAGGCAGTGGCGTAGCGTCACTGGATGACACGGGGGTGGGGGGCTTGGTCACTGATAATGACAATAAAATAAATAAACTTGAATAAATAAGAAGGGTCTGATCACACCATAGGTGGATAAATTCGGGTTTTTTTATTATAAACCTGGAATTTATTAATTAGAGTACTGGAAAGAACCTGGAAAACTCAGGTAATTTTATTTAGACAAATGAGTAGACACCATGTAGATAGAGAAAGACTATTAAACGCCACAAAGCAAAGAATGATCAATCTTGAAATAAATTCAGGCTAAAAAAAGTTGAAAATAGTGACTGATTATAATGAAAAATGACTTTAGTGACTGGCTTGAAAAAAGTGACCAAGTCACTAAAAAGTGACTCGTCACCAGCCCTGTGCAGTATTAAAAAAACTGAAACTATTATTTTTACCATAGAACAGGAAGGCCGAGTTATCTTAAGTATAGTATAGTACATACATTTTTCAGCATCAAACTAAATGCACCATTAATTTAGCTGTTTAAAAGCACATTAAGCTTGATTTTTACTGTATACAGTAATATTTAGCTGTGCGAGCTGTTCTGCAGCTAGAAACTCTGTTGGATGTATTTTAATAGTTTCATATTGTTGCAATTTACAGGGTGGCAAGTGAATTTCCATTTTGAAATTCCTTGTTTTTCCTGGTTTTCCTGGTCAAAGATTTAAAAATTTCCTGGTTTTAAAACCATGCATTTAAAAAAAACAATTTTTAATAAAAAAATTAAGTGAATCCTTGTACTATCATTTTTCGCGCAATGCGGAATTTCACAAACCAAAATAGGTATTAAGGTTCTTGTGAATGCCCGTGAAATCTTTATCTGATTGTTTGCTGTAAAGAAGCTAGTAGGGAGCCGCACTATTTCGTCGTATCATGGTGCCTATTTCCGTTCTACATATGTGCTAAAACTATAATAGCAAAGCGTTTTAACTCATGTTTTTGCAAAAACATCTTTGCTTACGAGATTAATTACGATTGACACTGAAACATTTGCGATAACCCGTAAAATGAGCGATTTTAGGGGTGTGTGACGAATAAAACCTGAGATACGACGGACTAGCGCGGAGCCCTATCTAATGTCTGAAATTTAGAGATCTATAAGCCCCTAAATCTTGAGATTTCTGTTTTTGAAACTGCGATTGTTTTTAACTAGTTTATCTCAAGGTGAAATTGCGAAGTGTGATACGAATGAAGACTCTTTGCTTCTAACAATTTTACGGATCTCCAGTTTGTTTAAATTTTCCGCAAATTGTCAACGATTAAGGATCTTATTTAGCGGAATTTTGATTACAACATGATTTCAAAATCATATGATTAAAACATTTCAACCACAACGCTGGTTTGATAACTGTTATTATTAAAAAGACTGACTGCTGAAGTTCATAAAAACTCCCTAAAGTTCGTAGAACTTCCCTGAAGCGTTAAGGTCTTTCCTGAAGGGTTCATTGAAGTTTGTATTGCCTGAATTTCATGGGACTTCCCCGAAGTTCGAAGGACTTTTTCTCAGATCTTAGGACTTCCCTGAAGTTCGGAGTTTTTTGAAATTCATAGGAATTTCTTAAATATCGTAGAATTATAACGAAGTGCGTAGAAATTCTCAGAAGTTCATAAGACTTCCTTCAAGTTCGAAGAACTTTCTCGAAGATCTGAGGACTTCCCTGAAGTTTGAAGGACTTAACTGAATATATGAGGACCCTAAATTTAGAAGAGCTTCCCTGAAGTTCATAAGGCTTTAAATATCGAAGGCTTTTCCAAAAGTTTGTGTGTCTTTCCTTAATTTCTTGGAAATTCCATGAAGTTTGGAGAGGTCCCATGAATTTCGTAGGACTACCTGTAGATCAATCGACTTCTCTATGTTAAGTTCAGAGGACTTCCCAAGAGTATTGAAGACTTTTCTGAAGCTCGGAAAAATCCATAAGTGTCATAGGATTATCCCTAAGTTTTAAGCAATGCCTTAATGTCGTAGAAATTACATTAAATCTGTAAAAAATTCTGATTAAAGATTAAAGGACTTCCCTGAAGTTCGTCAGACTTCTCTGAAATTTGTAGAACTTCTCTGAAGGTTCGGAGAGATTTCTTGACCGTCGTAGGTCATCACAGGATTTTCCTGAAACTTGTAAGACTTTCCCGAATTTTGTAGATCTTGCATGAAGTTCGAAGGCCTTATCTGAAGTTTTTAGAAATAGAACTTTTTTATTGAACATGTTGAACAGGTACTTCAAAGTAGTTACGCGTCGGCACTGCTTAAGGGGGTAGTACACTTTGAACGTCCAAAAAGTAAGGCATTTTCGTTAATTTTTTTAAGTAATAAAACACTCAGGGAGGGCAAATATGTTATAACCCATTTATTAGTCATCCTTCGAACTACAATTTGTATTTTTTTGAACTCGATTGGCGTCTCCCCGTGGCCGGTGCACCAGGTCGCGCAGGCGTCCTAACGCGGAAGTCGGAAAACGGCGTGGGAAAATACTCCTTTCGATGTGATCCTGGAACATAAATCGAACAAAAATCCTGATTAGTAATGAAATTTGGATTAGAAATACGTATTCCGATTTTTTTTTAAATTAATTTTTTCAAAAGTTGTGGCCTTAGGAAAAAAGTCCATTTTTTCACCCTAAAAATGCTTACAAAATCGTGGATTAAAAATCCATTTTTGACAAAATCGAAAATGTGGATACGTATTTTTAAGCAGAATTTAATTTTGAACAAGAAAACCTAGGCGATATCCAAATTTGATGGTACCTGGTTAGAGTTATTTCCCACGCCAGTTTGAAAAACCTCGTTTCGAGATAAACGCGTTTAAAGATAAAAATGCTCTCTCAGCGCGCCGCTACATGTTTTAGGAAATCGCTTCGTAAAGCGGTAAGGAATATTCTGGCGGACTTGGAGTCTTTTCTAAATTAAAGTATACATCCCAAGAAACATTTTAAGCCAAAAAAAAATGCATTTTTTTGAAAAATCAAAGTGTACTCCCCCCTTAAGTCTGCTATCAATTAAGCACAAATCATACATGCAATTGATGCGTGAAAAAAATTAAATTAAAAATAAATACAAAATATATTTAATAAATTCTCAGGGTAAATTGTGTTCATCAATGTTTAGTTGTGTGAAAGATTTTGCTTGAAAAAAATGGTTAGTTTTGACCTGATTATAAAAATAAACTTTGACATACATAAAATCTAAAACCTATTTAAATTATACAAACAAGATTATTTTCCTGGTGGACTTATGAAATTCCTGGTTTTTTTCCCGGTTTTTCCTGGTGAAAATAAATTCCCGACTTTTTCCCGGTTTTCCTGGTTTCCTGGTTTACTTGCCACCCTGATAATTTACCATAATACATAAATGTGTTGTATACCCACAGATAGTATGTTTAGGCAATCCTTTAATCATTTAACCAATTCAATTTATTTATAATGAGGTTAACTGTTAACAGTAGAATGTATGGTAACTTAATTATCATTTCATGGTTTTATTTCTACATGGACTGAACTACCCACCGCGTTCATCGGGAGATACTTATATCCCCATCAGGGGTTGATAATGTCCACGAATGGTTATTCGTGGAAAGAAAATAAATGATCGTAGAAGTGATGTAATAATGTGTGTCTCAATTTACCTCACTTTATGAGGCAAGAGGAAATAACACACCATATTTGTATCCTCATAAAAAAGCAGAGTCATCACGGCATAACCTCACTTTTTACCTGTTCAACCACTTTGAAAACGTTATTTAGAGTTATATTTGTATTCAAATCGGCCTCAAAATGCATAGGATCTTCTAGTTTCATTGATGTGTATCGATTCAATGCCATATATTTTTATTTGTTTACGTTTTAAGAGTCGTTCAACAGGTAGATTGAGGTTAGGGCGACGCCACTGTGAAAAAGTAAGTTCTTTGGATCGAAACTATAGTTTAATACTTTTTTTTTCATGATACAAGACGGTTGTACAAAACTTTTAGTGCAAAACATCTGGTTTATGTTACTTTATGATTTTTCTAGAGAGCCTCAAAGTTCAACTTTGAAAAAATCGTTTCAACTTACCCCGATGTACCTTACAACATTTTCCAAAATTCACACTGAATATTCATGATTGATTTTCCCGGAATTAGATTGAAATTTTTTTGAAAGTAAACTGTTAGTAGAACCCTTATTATAAAACCATCGAGATAAGTTTGTGAAAGTTTGGCTTTAATTCAATCAAATAGTTATTAAAGTAATCGATCAAAAGTTTGGGTCACCCCTCAGTATGAGTTGTCGCTGTTGTAAGTTTACTTGAAATTTTAGTATAAATACATCGTCGGTTTCATACAATACAATAGTAAAAAAATTCAATTTATGAGATTTAAATGGTAAATGACGCCAAAGAAGTTTCATCCCACACAAACCCATTTTTAAATTCGCGAAAAATCGAAAGAGGTAGATATGCCTTTGGAATTTTTTTTCAAAAGAGTCCTTTGACAAGTTATTTTTTCATGCAATATGGTCGCAATTGAAAAAAGTAAATCCATTTTTGCAAAGTGACAAAGTGGCACACCTCAAATGAAAAGCAGTTAAAATCGTTGGACTATTTGTTTTTTGATCGGATGTTTGATAGAATGCATGAAACACACTCTATTTAGTCCAATGGAAATGAGAAGATTTATAAAACTGAAACTTAAGTAAACAAAACAAAAATCAAACATTAATTGTGAAAATTCACAGATTTTGAGTTGTGTCAATATTGCACGAAACCGACTTTTTTTTATTATTTTCTGATTATTCCTGTTTTTCCATCAAGCAAATGTTCTTCGCATTAAGTATTAAGAAATAATTTTCCAAAATTTGGTCTAAAGACCTTCGGTCGAACGATCCAGCTAGAATATGCTTGTCAACAAGAGATCCATCAGATACTAGAGCCAGAAAACAGATAATTACCTGCCAACCCTGCCAGTGGCAGTGTTCGATCCCACCGCCCCTGGGCCTGGATGATCGCCGCTACACTCAGCATCGGCTTCTCCTTCTTCAGCATTCTTCACCAGGGGATTCCGAAAGCGAATTCAACACACGCTTGTTTATCACACACTAACACGCTGAAACGATGCACGAACAACGCGACTAGATTGATGATTCAGCACTATGGCTCGTAACCGGCCGAAAAACAAGCAGCGTAGAAAAGATCCGCACACAACAGTTTAGCCTCTTCTGCCCTGAATGAACCGAGATCCGGAGAATGACTTGGCTTGACGCTCTTGTTGTGCTGTTTTTGTACGACATGCGTCGTTGTCGCTGCTCACAATTAGCACATTCACTCACTTCATTCATTTGCGATGACGCGACTTGATCGCCAGAAATCGTGGAATTTCACTGCTTTTTTGATTGTTTGTACACATTGCCATGCTTTGCCGTGGAATACGACGACCTGGTAATACTGTTTATCTGTAGGTAGAGATTGATGCATCAGCTGATTTAACGTACGAGAATGAACAATTACAGCGCGTCTACTCGCATTTCCTGCCCAACTGATTGTGTGTGTGTGTGCGTGTAAAATTCTGCTGTAGGATGGCCTTGAGTCCCGCAAAGTGAAATGGAGTCATCCTGTCGCAACCCCAGACTACTGCCGCGTACTCATTCAATTGCATAAAATTGCTTGATTTAATATTATTATCATGCTCGATTACAGATCCAGAGTGAGCAGAGTGAACCGATAACCGACCCGGTCCCAGTAGACTAACCCATACACACGTATGCACTGTATGTAGGACTGCACTGTGCAGACAACCTTCGGGATGCAAAAAATAAACATTCAACTCAAATGCATTGCAGCTACTCCCGGAATTGGGTTAACTGATGCGGCGACCCTGAGACGGATGACGACGATTGCCGCTTTACAGCCGGGGTGGCGGCGGGCGTGCTGAACTAATTAACACCCCAAGCAATAATTGTAGCAATGGGTGCAGGGTGCTTTCCCCCCGGTAACCCGGTAGTTTGCACAGGGTTTTAGCAGGTCTTTCGCGATTGCTATTGTCGCTGTTATCAGCGTCTGCCAAACGGGTTTTGCAACAAAGGAAGGAAGGAAGGAACAAAGAAGTGATCCGCCGTGCGATGATTCAATCCTGAATGGTGATAAGAGCTTGACGATAAAGGGAAGATGGTTAGCTCAAGCACGAGACTAGCCTGGCATTAGGGCTCGTGATGCGTTGGGGTAGATTGTAAGCACATTTTTCTACACGGGGGAGCTGTTTATAAACTACGTAGACATATTTTGGGAGGTGTAATTACACAGAGAACCAACAGGGACTAGCTATCATTCTCTATGTGTAAAAACTGGTAATCTAAAACTACGGAATGTAGGAATGTTTTGACGTGATAAATGGTGAATTAGATAAAAATTGTACACGCAATTAATAGCTGTATCTTTTTAGCAATTATACCAAATGACTTATAAATTTTCAGTTCTTCAGTTCATAACGTACACACAGGTGGAGAGGTGCTTTATGTCGAGTAACAGTTATGAGAAAAACATGCTGTCTAAAAAATGTACAATCTCAAATTTGAAATCAGCGATTACGCAAGGAATCATTGCTGCTATTGACTGATGAAACCAAACCATTTTTTTGACGAATTATTTTAATTATATTTCAAAATACCGACCGGTCAAAAATTACACTTCAAAATTTCAGCTCATTACGACTTAACAAAACGCAATTCCTTCAAAACAAATAAAAAAATCAATCGTTTTACGCCAAACCAAAATTTTTTTTGCTAATACACTTTAAAGATTCATAACCCGTTAATAAATTGAACAAAGAGTGGAAAAAATAGCAAAATTTAGTTTTTCGTCACTGTACCAGATTTGTAAGACAACATTTTGTTTTCTTGATTTAAAGCCAAGTCAAAGCTCGTATTTGAATCATGCTAATTTTTTTATTTATTCAGTACTCTCTAAAGAATCTGCTCTGAAAATTTAAAGATATTTGGTATAATGGTTAAAAAGTTACAGCTCTTGTGCCATTTTTATTGAATACACCCTTTATGCGCTTTGTAGGAAGCCAAAAAATCCTCTGCACTTCCACGAGAAATTATTGGGATGTTGGATAAAAGTGTTGGGTGTGCGACAAGGTTCGTTTTGACAAATGGTACACTGAATTAACCAATTAACACCCAGTGATCTATTTATAGATCAGATACATTTTTGATAACTGTCGAGAATTTTGAGCTCAAAAGTCATACATGTCATCACCAATATTGTTCTATGGACCGATCTCTTTAAAATGACAAACAATTTAATTCGGAATTGACTCGCTAGGTGGCGTTAGTGTCAGTAGAAAATTTCGTTTTATCAATTTTTATAGAATACAATTCTCGTGATATGTGTTAGATAGAGAGATGCGGCCTTCTGCAATGTTGTTGAGATTACAAATGCTAACATTATTATGTATTTTATAGTTCAGAATTATCTCACTAGGTGGCTCTAGTGTGCATGTGAAATTTGTGTACATGCAATATCTCATGATCCAGGCTATAAACAGTTGCGTTTTCGGCAATATTTGAATCATAGACAGTTTCGTTCGGATTCTCTCGCTAGGTGGCAACAATGTTTTTTTCAAACATTGCCAATTTTCCGGTACACATTTTACCGGAGGCATCCTGTTTGGAGTATTAAAAATCAAAACTAGTCCACAAGCAAATAATGCAGCTACTATTTAGATATTTACACAATTTTCCCCTGTAGAGACGAACCACCTAAAAGCTGAGAGTCATGCATTTTCATCACAAGCTTTATCGCCAGAAAGTGTTCAACATGTTCAGCATATGAAACACTCGTCTTTAATTCCTCGTTATAAAATATATTCCCCGTGCACACTGCAATGGCCATCCCATTTCCGTTGAACATTTGTTATGGATAATACGTTTAACCACACGCTTGATCGTAGTGGGATACCTCCGGTAGGAAATCGTTCACAAGAACATATTGCACCTCCCAGCCCAAGTTACATTGCAAATTTTATTGAGGTTTTAAAGCACTGCTATATAAAACACTAACAATAGTTGCAATTTCCAAACCTACGACTGGATGCCTTCCTTCAAATAACAACTGTAGTGCGGTAAAAAGTCGGTAGAACTGTTTCAAACACATCGTTGGTACTTGAGCGGTCGGCTTTCATCTCTTTTGCCAGTGGTGGCGGGGGGGAACACCCCTCACCATCCCTCTCCAAAGGGGGAGTTTGGTAAAGAGAGATGAAAAAACCGATTTGTGCCTTCCTTAAAAGTTGTCCTAGCTCGCTATTCTACTATCTATATGCAATTTTCACACTGCCGTACTCTAACGGAACTATCAACTCTACACTTTCATCTACTCCATCTATCGTATAAAAATTACCACTACAGTCTGTTATTTGAAATTAGCATCTTCAACAACTAAACTAACATACGACTAATTACGACTAATTCAGGTTATTAATTTGTCACATACTTCTACTTTTAATTATTTCCAAAACTATTCCTCTCCTTGTCAATCTGCTTAATGCTATTGGTCTGCTTGCGTTTTCTTATTGAAGTTCAAGACTAAATAGGAAGATTTATTCTACAATTTTAAAGGTTATTTGCCTCCCTAAGCGGACCCCCGCATCCCAATTCTTTTGTTAATCTACTTAATGTTATTAGACTTTCTGAATTTTCTTATTTAAGTTCATTTGATGATTATGATATTTCATTAGTCTAATTCAATAAATAATTGAAATCTTTAATTCACCTAATCAATCATAACCCATGCTTTATTAAGTACCTGCACTTATGCTTGTAATCTAAAACCACTTTATGGGGTGGCTTTCTCAGTCTTTTAGTAGAAACGATTATTTTTTACGTTCCCGACGTTTCGACCGTTTGGTTGTGGTCTTTCTCATTGACAATACAACCCTTGAGAAAGACCACAACCAAACGGTCGAAACGTCGGGAACGTAAAAAATAATCGTTTCTACTAAAAGACTGAGAAAGCCACCCCATAAAGTGATTCCAATCAACCAGTCGAAACCACCATTAGTAATCTAAAACTAAACGTGTTTCAAGTACTTTTGATTTTGACCTATACCTATTTATTATATCTTAGTTCGACCCAGGTGACACCTTCAAGTGACTAAAATGCTTCATTTTGAAGTTAGTTCCCTAGCCCACGCTTCCACTATGTCGCACCGCAAAAATACGTATGGGTATGTCACAATAGAAGCACGCCACAGTCGAAATTCCGAGCCATAGTTCAAACACTTATCTCAAATCAAAATGAAGCACATATAAGATTAGTTACAATACCATGTGTTTAACATTGTTCCCTGAGTAATACCTCAATGAAAACAACAATGAAAGCTTGTCACGCAAAGAGAAGGTGCACTGTTGGGCACTTTCTGAAATATTTCAATATTATAGTTCCCTTGCAAACCCAAATAAATCTATCTGCGTAAAAATAAATAAAATAAGAGTAATTTGCGGCAAAATCCGCCAGTATCGCACTCAACGTACTACGACGCGGCTCTCAAACAAAGGAGTAACAAGTGTGAGACTATCACTGCTAGACTAGATCTTTGGTTTTCTCATGCAGTGGTTCATCAGAGAGGGGAAGCTTAGTAATCCCCATTGCCTGCCCATGGTGCCATTCTATCGCGGCATGAGCCAGCAACGGCGGCCATAAACCTACCGTCTCCAGCACTCCAAGGTGCAAAAACTAGCCAAGGGGAGGGCTCTTCGAATTTTAAATTTCTCTAATTAAACTCTTTCGAACAATTCACTGGAGCTTCAATTTTTTTTTAAATTTGCTTGACATTCTCCGTAAAGTTCCCATGCAATTTACCTCAGAATATCAACCAAAAATTGAAAAGGACCTATTAGTTTTCATGAGCAAAACTTGCAACTCTCCCGCCGAGAATTGTTTTCAAATTTTGTTCACAATTATCTTGAAGTTCTCCTCTAAATTCTTCTGGAAATCGCATGGAATCCTCATTAAAATTCTCCAAAAAAATCCATTCGAAATGCGCTTGGAATTTCCTTATAGATTATCGAAAGTTGTTTTGCAATTGTACCTTCAAAATTCGCATCCCTTGGTATTTTTCACGAATCCTGGAATCTTTTTCCCTCTTGGGAGTTCTAGTAAAAACTCTCTTCGAGATTTTCCTAAAGCTCCCTAGAAAATATTCTCTGAATTACCTGAAATACCTTCTGCCACAATTTGTTTTGGAAAAAAATATCTAAACTTCTCTTAATAGTTCTTCAAAATTATCTGAAAATCTAGTCTAGTCTATGGTTCTTGAAATCTTATTGTTTTCGAAATGAGGACGAGGTACATGTTTTCCGGTGACTTCAAATTCCCAGCATTTTACGTATGAAACGCTTGTTTTTAATTCCATTATATATTTTTTTGCCTTGAGCACATTTTGAGACCCAGCTCT